TGGACTATTTCGACCGTTACATTAGCATAATGACTTGCAGCTTGCTATATCTTTTGGTATTTCTTTGACTCTCCCCCATCTCCTCCCCCTATCATGGTTTGGTGGCGCACTCCATCATTTGGATCTATCAAAATCAACATCGATGGTTGTGTCAAGGATGGGTTTGCGAGTGGGGGAGGCATCATCAGGGACTACGCATGGAATTGTATCAGGGTTTTCTCAGCTTCATATGGACAATGTATGATCTTAGAGGCGGAACTTAGGGCTATTCATTATGGATTACTACTGGCTCGAGATCTTGGTTTATCGGACATTTGGGTTGAGGCTGACTCGAGTGTGGCAATTCACCGCATCATTAGAGGTGGTGGACCTTGGGCCATCCAGGGCATCATCCGACAGATTACATACATCCTTTCCCTTGACAGAGACACGGTTTCCCACATATTTAGATAAGGGAATCAAGTTTCGGATGCACTTGCTACCGAGGAATGGCATCATCGTAGATATCAGGAATATGGACCAGTTGACTTACTACGCCAAATTAGGGCGCTTGTTCAGATTGACAGGTATGGCTTGCCCAGTATCAGAGTTTGAGTTTGGGTTTGGGTATTCGTATCGTGTCTTCACGTTTATTTTTGCTTACATTTGCACTTGTTGTAAGGGAAGCAGTACTTGCTTTTTTTTATTGATTTACTTCACTTTTGCTGTAGCCTATAAGGGAAGTAGTACTTCCTTTTTTATTGCTTTACTTTATTCTTGCTGTAAGGGAAATAATACTTCATTTTTTATTACTTTTCTTTACTTATGATGTAAGGGAAGTAGTACTTCCCTATTTATTGCTTTGCTTGTTTTCAGCTGTAACCACGGTATTCTTCCGCCACAAGTGAGGACATATTAATAAAATCTCGGAAGTTTCGCTCTCCTTCCATAAATTAAAAAAAAAAAAACTATTCTATGTATTATCATTCCTGCTTTGGCAAGTATCGTTGGAAATTTCTACCCTTGAGAATTTCTCTAAGGGGCTGTTTGATTGCAAGTGTGGAAATGGGTAGAAAGAAAATGTTTTACAGGGAAAACTTTTTCCTGGAAATTGTTTTACTAGAGGTGTAATTAATTGTGTTTGATTGGTATAATTTTCCATTGAAAATGTTGAAAGTGGTGTCCGTTTGACACTTTTTTTTAATGTAAATTCTCTATTAAAGTGATATTTTTTTCTACTATTAAGTCTGGAATTTGTTCCAATTGCCAAAAAAAAAAAATTTTAAAAATTT